ACTCAAATGAACAAAAGTAGCTCGATCTAATAGGGTAGAACACTTCCGTGAGATACAAGCTCTTTACTTTTTTTTTTATCTAGAAAATATATTTGTATGGAGTTACCCACTTACATAAAAAGTTAGCTTATGGTTATATCAAAGTATTTGCTTTATTCTGCCTTTTCTTGTTAGAACCTATATGTTATGCACGGGCCATTTCCTTTTTATGCTTTGGCTTTATAGTAAACTGTAAAGTTGTTCTATGTATTCGTTCTGCTCCATATACCACCTGGGCCTGGTAACAAAATGTTTTTAAATTTTTGAACCAATTTTATTTCTTGTTATTGGTAAGGAGCTGTAATTAGCAGTGTGATTAAAATTGTTCTAATTTATACTTAAATTATAATGCCTATACAACATAATCTTCTTCAGCTGCTTTAGCCAAACTCTTGAATGTATAGTTAAAGCAGTAGAATTAGCTTCATACTTTCATTGAAAAGCTTATTGTATGGTATTCATGGGTGGGTTGGTACCATCATCAGTGTCTCAAAAGCTACTGCTTTTTATTCTTTGGGTCTTTTCTCTTGTGAATGAGTCCTCTTTTTAAAATCATTTTACTCTCTTAGTCTTTCTCACGTGGGTTGGGTAGTTCATTTAGCGCACTCTCCTCATTCTTGGGTGTTTTCCACATAGGAACATGGTTCTGAGACATATTCAGGTGAATTTCCAGTTTTCCTTTTTCTAGGTCTTATTTCTTTTCCGCTTTCTATGACCAGCTGGCCTAGAAATCTTCCATGTCAAGATAATTCATCCCATTAAACTGGCTAATAGCCACTATGTAGAGGGGCTATGGGCATGACAAACTGAGAGAAAGCTTATTTAAGGAAAGCAGTACTGGGTACCCCACATTGCAGTAGTTAAGCACAGTGCTTTGGGAACTGGATCCTACATGGCTGACTACAGTTTAATTTCTGGCCATGGAGGCCTGAAAAATAGGCTAGGTGTATGTGCATGGATTCTCAAAATCCTGATGGGATAGAAAAATGGAGGGAAAATGATTGTGGTGTGACCATATCTCATTGGGAAGAGTGCTCCCACTCTCTCTGGTGAGTGCATGTGCCCTCTGACAATTAAAGAAAAAAACAAAACTTAAAGAAAAAAAGAGAAAAGAAAATTAGTGCCATTGCATAATCACTATAAAAGTTTGTATCTGTGGTGTTTACCATGTACAAAGCACTTTCCATACCAGGTCCCCTTATTTAATCCTTTACAAGAATGGATACGACCTGCCCATGTTCTCAAAGTGTGTAACACCAAAGCTATAATTCCAAGTCAAGTATTTTCTGGTCTGAGATCTTATCTTTGTCACATAATTGTCACTATATGTTGACTCCTTCAAACACTCATGTCTTGACCTCTGAAATGTTCACTTATTAACCCTTAAAGCCCTCAGACTTGGCCAGTAGAGAGTGTGGGACACTCGTAGCTTCTCAGAGGGAGTGCTTAGCAGACCTTCCAGTCAGCTCACCAGTTCTTCCTTCAGGCAGCAAGTTAAACTGGTCACAGGCATTCACCTCTCCTGTCACCTCCCTCAGTAGCACTCAAGTCACTCCTGGTTAGGTGTTCATTGACCATTAGTGGGGTGATTGCAAATGCACTTCTGTGTTTAATGTTAGATTATAGATAATTCTATTTCATCAGAACATATTTTCTTGGTCATGAAAAGTGTGGGAACCACTGACTTACAGATTTCTTGGTCATCTTCCTTACATTTACTTGAAGCATTTACACGTTTGTGGTGACATATCTTCTCTATTTGCATTTCTATTACTAGCAATTCCTCAGCCCTCTGGGGATCAGCAGTTTTCAGAACGAGTAATATGTGCAATTATATTGGAGCCAAGAATTTAGACCCATTTTGAACAATAAGGAAATCAAAATAAAGTTGACCTCACTCACCATTATAACATTAATCAGTGAGGACAAAACTCATACAGAGGCCCTTTTTACCAATTCCAGTTTTAACCCTTGTCTGGTGGTTATACAGATCAAATTTCTTTTTCAGTTATTAACAATTGTTTTCCCCCTCTTCACATCTTTACCATTTATATATCCAGCAAATGCCCAATTTTCTTTGTGTAGTAGATACTCAGGAGCTCTTGAAAAATGTATTTAATCCAGAAACCTAATGCTAGCAATTGGAATTAATGTTTCCATTCCAAAGCCTTTCCTGTACAAATATGAGATCTACAATAGCCAATGAGCGGTGCAGCAGTAACACAATGCTCCGTGATGCTGAGGTCATAAGGAAGGTCCTGGTTTTGCGCCCCAAGGTCTCCTAGTGCATGTGACATGTGCACAATGTTTGCATATAATCTAGCTGGCTGACTCTGGTTGCAGAATTATGGTGAGAAGACCCTATTGAGGGTGTTTTTCTCTTTCTCTCATCCCCTTAGTCTCTCTTTCACCCTCTCTCATGGGAGAAACAAATAAGCTTAAAAAGATAAAATAACAAATGAATATTAAATAATATCTATAAAATTTATCATCATAGTATCAACATTTGAACATTATAATATCACTCATCCTCTCTGTGCTGGCAAACTAAACAAACAAAAAAAGTAAATACAATCCTACAGAACCAAAAATCTGTTAAAACTGGTAAAAGAAGAAAAGAAAAAACTCAACAAAAGTAATCTTTTTGATCAATCTGTTTTCAGTTAGTATATATTCTAGAATATATCTTTTGAAGTCAATCAGAAGGAATTGATTTCACTATGTAGGCTCTTCACGAAATTTTTCTACTGTATTTTTATGTTATTTCGGTTTCCTTTACAAAGTTATTTACATCTTTAAGACATATTTTTTTGAAATCCATTGCTCATTTTTATCTTGGTACTAATGGCATCTGCCTCAAACTTTCTTTCCTAAAAAAGGTATCGTGATGTGTATTAATAGATATTATAAAACCATTATTTTCTGAGACCAGCAGATGGTGCAATGGTTATGTCGCTGGACTGCCATGTAGTTGACCATGGTTTGACTCCTGGTTGCTTAAAACTCTCGCCAGAGCCATGTGTGTACATGGCCAAAATTCTGAGAGGAGACTGGAGGAGAAGAGATTATTTCGTGGCCATCACCCCTGGCGGGGTTGATTTTTCACTTTCTGTCTCTCTGTCTCTCCAGTGAGCAGTGTGCCCTACATAAAAAATTTCTCTAAAAAATTTTTTTGTTTTATACTGTTCCCTTTTTCTTAATTTTCCTTTGTTTTTCCTTCACATTCATACCTATTCTTTTCATTTGCTTTTTAAATAAATCTCTGTCAGTTAAAGATTCCAATCCAGGAAATTTTGTCTCCTCACTCAAATGCTAAGGATAAAACTTTGAAGAAAATGATTGCTTTAAGGTAACTCAGTAGGTTGGAGGTAAGGAAAGTTTCAAAAATATGAAGCTTCTTCCTTTTTCAGAACTTGTAACAGTTTATTACAATATTTGTAATAGTAATTAGACTCCATAATAGAAGACCTTTATTCCAGTTCTACATAGGAGACAATTATATTGAAGATGTCTACCTACCACGGTACTATAGTTATTACCATAACTGACTATACCTTTATTATAGAGTAGCTTCTTTTTCTTTTCTTATATTCTAGAATATATCTTTTGAAGTCAATCAGAAGGAATTGATTTCACTATGTAGGCTCTTCACGAAATTTTTCTACTGTATTTTTATGTTATTTCGGTTTCCTTTACAAAGTTATTTACATCTTTAAGACATATTTTTTTGAAATCCATTGCTCATTTTTATCTTGGTACTAATGGCATCTGCCTCAAACTTTCTTTCCTAAAAAAGGTATCGTGATGTGTATTAATAGATATTATAAAACCATTATTTTCTGAGACCAGCAGATGGTGCAATGGTTATGTCGCTGGACTGCCATGTAGTTGACCATGGTTTGACTCCTGGTTGCTTAAAACTCTCGCCAGAGCCATGTGTGTACATGGCCAAAATTCTGAGAGGAGACTGGAGGAGAAGAGATTATTTCGTGGCCATCACCCCTGGCGGGGTTGATTTTTCACTTTCTGTCTCTCTGTCTCTCCAGTGAGCAGTGTGCCCTACATAAAAAATTTCTCTAAAAAATTTTTTTGTTTTATACTGTTCCCTTTTTCTTAATTTTCCTTTGTTTTTCCTTCACATTCATACCTATTCTTTTCATTTGCTTTTTAAATAAATCTCTGTCAGTTAAAGATTCCAATCCAGGAAATTTTGTCTCCTCACTCAAATGCTAAGGATAAAACTTTGAAGAAAATGATTGCTTTAAGGTAACTCAGTAGGTTGGAGGTAAGGAAAGTTTCAAAAATATGAAGCTTCTTCCTTTTTCAGAACTTGTAACAGTTTATTACAATATTTGTAATAGTAATTAGACTCCATAATAGAAGACCTTTATTCCAGTTCTACATAGGAGACAATTATATTGAAGATGTCTACCTACCACGGTACTATAGTTATTACCATAACTGACTATACCTTTATTATAGAGTAGCTTCTTTTTCTTTTCTTTCTTTCTTTCTTCTTTTTTTTTTTTTTTTTTTTTTTTTTTTTTTTTTTTTTTTTTAGATTTTGGCCATAAGACACATGCACTTGCCAAAGACAGAAATAGAGAGAGGGAAAGTGAGAAATCACCTCCTTACCCCCTGGGGTTGGCCGTGCTGCAATCCTGGCCATGCCACAATCCCCTCTACTCCATTCTCCTCTCAGGATTTTGGACCCTCACAATTGGCATGATTCTGAAGCCTTAGGGTCCAGGACTCATACTATGGTTGGCCATGTGGGAGTTTAGTGGATTTAATCGCCATGCTACCTGCTGATCCAATTTAGTTTAGTTTCATCTTATTTATAACTAAAACTACATGAAATCATATACTAATGAAAAAAGGAAAGAAAAAGTATGTCTTCAAATTTAATTCCCTTTGTTTAAACGGTTTGAATAATATACATTGTTCTAAATTATTCTTAGTCCCTGAAATTCATGGAAAAAGCAAACCATTGATTACTTACGTGGGGGATTCTACTGTTTTGGTATGCAAATGTCAAGATTGTTTTCCTTCAAGATGGACCTGGTATAGTAGTAATGGGAGTGTACAGGTAAGATCGCATTTCTTTGATATGAAAAAGATAATGAAAAGCCTTTTCTTCATATATAACAATATTGTAACAGACTCAGAGTTTCTAGAATGATTTATGGTGTTGTTGTTATCTTGTTCATTAATATATATCAACAAAGAAAGGGCAATGATAAATGGAGTAGTTATTTGATATTTTTAACGTATTACATTATATGTCTAAATATATTCATGTTTCATCAGCTAATACCTTTTGTTTTGAAAATTTATTTAAATTCTTTGAAAGGAAGTTACAATTTATTTTTAGTTGACTAGTTTGTAAATAACTTCATCAGAACAGATTCTTTGTTTCTTATCATTCCATGAAAGTAATTAGAAAAAAAAAAAACAGCCTTCTTTTCCAGCTGTCTCCTGAAATATCTGTGCTAGGATGCAACCTAATGGTACCATTTGAGAGAAGAATGAAAATTTGATAATTTAAAATTAGTTCTGAGGTCTGACAGGGCCATTTGCTTTCCCTGGCCTTTCATACCTGAGGGGAGCTAAATATTTTTAATACCTATTAACCCAAGAGAAATGGCTTATTCCAAGAGCCAACATTAAGAAAAGCATGAGTATTCAATAACCCATTTGCTTTCTTCTTCCCAAATAGCCTTTAAGGGTAGGAAAATTTAGGACATTGTTTTTATGATATACCCTTCTCTTGCCTCAAGGTACTAATGAGCACTGAAATTAAAGTCCTGTTCTAGGCAAGCTAGAATTCTAGAAGAAACATACAAAACTATAGATCTAACAATGAAATACTAAATTTCTTCTTAGACAAAATTGGCTCCGTTATGGACTGTTGAAGGTCTACAGGGAAGGACTTAGAAGGAGTATATCTGATTCTGTGGTAACATCAGTTTAATTTTCCAAAGAAATCATGTAAATGTAGACTGAAACCATTCCTACCTGTACTTTTCTTCTTGATAATTAGGAAAGGTTATCATAGTGTGTATGTAAATATTTTTTTAAAAACATATGAATTTGTGGGAATAATATCTGGTGGGGTCTTAGAAGGACACTGCCTTATGCATATGTGATACCAGACAGCCAGTAACCTAAATCTTAATTGTATGAACTGTTAGAATGTTGTTTTACACATGCCTGAGATTCTCTCTATTTGCTATCCTAATCATTATCCTCTTCATTTGACCCTGAAAATGAGTCAGAGTAGGGTCTGAGAAAAGTACAGGGAAGAAGGTACCGGTAACAACATTAAGCCAAGTGGTTTTTCAGAATTTAGAGCAACCAACTGCATCAGAATCAGCTGGGTACTTATGAAAAATGCAGTACTTTAATTTGTCAGTGCCAACACAGAGAGTGCATTTGTGCAAGTTTCCCGGGAAATGCTGTGCATGTGGAGCTAGGTCACTCTAATTTTTTATTGACAAATATGTCCATAGATATCGCTTTAGATAACTTCCAAGAGTATTCATTTGCAGATTAACATTTATGGAACAGTTCAGTTGAATGATAGAGCAGCAAAGGCATCCGATGGCCTGAGAATAAGATTTTAAGATGAAATAAAGCAGACTCCAGATACTGAGTTGTCAGAAAAGTCATGATGTATTTTTACTATGTTTTTTCAATGCAAAACATGACATTTCTGATTACCCAATAGCTTAGTAAGTATCTGACCAGCCTGGGGCCAACCAGCCAATCTTAGCTGGTGAAGCCAACTCGCCAGAGAGAGGAGGAAATTTCATCTAGGCAAATACAGAAGGGACGCAGACCACCCAGAGAGCAGGTCCCAGGGGAGAATGAGAGGGTTTCTGCTTCTCCATTCACTCCGAAGGCCCAAGATTTTATTTCCTCACATTGTCAGAGCATGTGATCATTGATAGGCGTGATCAGCCTCAGGGATGGCAGTTGCTTCAGTGTATGCCTGCGCTTATGAGGGAAGAAGTACTTGGACTCAACACTTGCCAGGGATTAGAACGTGAAGCCCAGATGGCTGGAATTTTTCTGTTATTTTAACTCTCATATAATATTTACTCATGATGACCTACTTGCTGCTGTCACAAACACTCAGTACTGCATCCTTACCCCAAAGTAGGCTTTTTTTCCTGTTTGCTATCTGGGAGTCAAATTCTGGGTAAGACTAAACCTCTATTATATACATAACTTCTCACAAATTTTAATATGCTTTTTCCTACTTAGCAATTTTCTTACAGCTTTTGCTCATAGTAGACATGTATCTTTCATGCAATATGATACAAATGAATTTCACTGTCTCCTTTTATTAGATTCCTGTTGATGCCCAAATGAATAATAAGTATGTGGTCAATGGAACATATGCTAATGAAACAAGACTTAAGATAACACAACTTTCGGAGGAAGATGGAGGGTCTTACTGGTGCCAGGCAGTATTCCAACTAGGCGAGAGTGAAGAGCAAATCGAACTTGTTGTTCTGAGCTATCTGGTGCCCCTCAAACCATTTCTTGCAATAGTGGCTGAGGTGGTTCTTTTGGTGGCTATTATTCTGCTTTGTGAAATGTATACGCAAAAGAAAAAGAAGCACCCAGGTAGTATTTATCATTTTTAGATAATGTTATCACTTAGTTCTGAGAACTGTCACTTAATTATGATTTGGATTATGACTCAATACATTACAGTGACTTTGGATTTGGGAGGGGAATCAAATTTTTCTTCCTTGGAGCAGTATTTATGTTGAAGATGATGGTGACAGTGAGCTATGAACCCCTATTGATGAGCCTCTTGTTTGAGCTTCCTGAAATTTTAATATTAGAAAATGCCCTTTTCCCTTTTCTTTTGGTGTTGGTACCTCAGCACCAATTAGGTGATTTATGTCTTAACAGCAAAATGTTAAAAAAAAAAAAAAAAAAAAAAACAACTATGATAGAATAATTAAAAGGGCTCAAAGACGAAAAATTGTTCCTTAACTTAGATAATTTGTTTTTTTAAACAAATAGTTTATCAAGCATTCCGGGATTTTTGTAAAAGGAACATTGTCCTGTCACAGTTTCCTATTTTTATAGCTCATGCCTGATGGGTTATAGGCTGAGAAACCAATGCACCTCGAGAAAGTTTATTGTACATCTATATCATTTCTGGGTTTTTACTAAGTTTAAAATAACTTAAATAACAACTAATCAATCTTATTTTGAAAATCTTAGGGCACTCCGCTATGCTTAATCAGAAATGCACATAATGCAGATAAAAAGAAGGCATGCATGAGGGGCATCTAGCTAATGTGGCGTGTGTCTCTTTCATTCCTGAGAAGGAAAACAGCACGATGGGATAGTAACTTAGGGGGAATGTTGAGTTGAACGTGTATGACCCGTTAAAAATAATAAACTAATCTTAATAGTTGACTTTTTGTTTTTTTCACAGATCATGGAAAGGAGTTTGAACAAATTGAACACCTGTAAGTATTATGTTTTACGGATTTAAGTTTCACTTGAGTATAAGACAGATGAATATCAGACTGAATGACGATGACTTATATGTCGTTTTACAATATGGCAGGTGATAATCAGGTAGGAGCTCAGTCAACATGTGTGGTATAGGAGCTATAAGTTGATATATTTATTACATAAAACTAGAGGTTACACCCAGTTTTGTATCTACCCAGTGTATATCAAAGCAAAACTACAAATATTGGCTTCAGATTCTCAAGAGAAAGATGACTAACACTAGGTAATGAGTGTGCAGGCTGGGCCCAATACCAGTAGATAATAAATTCAGCCACCCATCAGTTATGTCAGAGGTGGTGGAAGGGTTATGGTAGGTGGGAGTGTGTGGATTCTGTACCTAAGTGGATCTGATAAGTGAGTGAGCTCCTCATTGCACCACTGGAGGTGATTGGCTTGCTTCGATGTTATATGTTTAATAGTTTTTGAAAGTTTCTTCATGTATTCCTTTTATGAGAGAGAGATAGAGACAGAGAGACAGACACCCCTAGCAGGGTCTTCACACTGTTGTCCACCCACAGTCTCAGCCAGCCCTGATCATACTTCCCCTGTCAGGCTCAGGGAGGTTGGAACCCAGGACCTTTCCCGTGTGTGTCTGGATATTTGCCACTGCCTGATCCCTAGTATGATTTTTTTTTAAATCATTTTTACTACTCATGCTTGGAGAGAAGAAAGTCTCTCTGTACATAAAATGTACAAGCTTTTGTAACTGTCATCAGTAATATTTCCTCTCCAAGCAATCCCAAATAACAAGTGAAAAGTTTTTAGGAGGTACGAATCCTGTCTGTAAGGACTTTTACATTTTAATGTGCTAGCTAGGCTCGAGATGGTGTACTGACTTAATTTTGTGCAATGTCAACATGTAGTGATTTTCTTTTTTCTGTTTTATCCAGGAAATCCGATGATAGCAATGGTATAGAAAATAATGCACCTAGGCACAGAAAAAATGTAAGTTATTTCGTGGTTTCCAAATAAAAGGTAAAATTCAATACACATAGTCTATATATTAATCCAGTTATTTTATTATTCTTTATTTTTTAGTTTCATAAAGAGTTAGCAGGGACCAGCAGTTAATGTAATGGCTATGTCGCTGGACTCCCACGTAGTCGACTGTGTTTTGAGTCCTGGACCTGGCAGCTTGCTTTCTCACCGGGCACGTGTGCGTGCGTGCCCAAGATCCCGAGAGGAGAATGAAGGAGAAGGGATTGCAGCATGGCCATTCCCCCTGGGGGGTGATTTCTCGCTTTCTGTCTCTATGTCTCTCTCTGTCTGTCTGGCGAGCGCACGTGCCCTATAGCAAAAACCTCTCAAAAAAAACAAAAACAAAAACAAAAACAAAAACAAAAAAACGTAAAAGAGCTAGCCATTCACTATGTGCTTAATTATGTTTGATCATATTATTATGGAAGAAAGTTTATAGTTATACAGAAATAAATAACATCTTTTCTAGTACCCATAGAAACCTGTCTAACAGTAAATCTTTTGTTCTATCAGTTTTACTTTTTTCTTTTTATTTGCCAGAGGGCACATGCAGATGCCAGAGAGACAGAGAAAGAGAGAGGGGGAGAAAGCTCCCCCGAGAGGAGTATGGTCATGGTGTAATCCCTTCTCCTCTGTTTCTCCATTCTGTCTGGCAAACACCCACTCATTACCTAGTGTTAGTCATCTTTTTAAGCCACTACAAAGCTGGAACTCAAAACATATGATCGACCATGTGGAATTTGGCTCTCCTAACCACTAGGCCATGGAGCCAGCCCCACTTTTCTTCTTTCTTTTTTTATAGTTCTTTTACAGTTGTCTATATAGCCTTATTTTTTCTCCCAGATTTTGTGGATTCTTCTGTTTTTTCATTTCATTTATTTTCCATGTATTTGGTACTATGAGCTAATCTATACAGTTGATTTTCTTTACTGATTAGATGCAGCATTTTCTTAGGTCTTTAACTTCAGAATAGGAACTCTTTGTTTTGACTGTAGCTTTGATCCCTCTTCCCAGCACTTTTTGCTTTGCTAAAGAGACAGTAAGTTATAGAATAACCAATACATGCTAATTATGTTTCATTATGCTTTCTTTGACTCAGGAGTCTATGGGCCAGTGAATGCACACCATCATGTCAAGAGTCATGGGAAGCTCTACAAGGAGTTTGTGTTTCATTGTTGTTTATCCTTCCTGTTAAGAACATCTGAGTTATTTTTTTAAAGGATGAAAAATTTATGCAACATGCTCAGCAGTAATATAAATAATATATGCTATCGCATATCTAAAAATATATTTTCATTCTCTAATTGTTTTGCACTAAAACAAGGTAAATTGCATTAAATATGTTCTATGCACTATAACCCAGGATAATTAATTTTATTCTGGTCTTCAAGGAATACACAGAAGAGACACCAGCAAAATCCATTATTAGTTCATAGAGCAAATGTCACTCAAAACCTGCTTTGTAACCAAAGAATTTATTAAAGAGAAAGCCTTTGCCATTTGTCCTAAAAAGTTTATTTTTTTCCTAATTATGCTTGCTGTGTATTTTTAACAGTTTTCATGTAGAGTTCATCCTTCTGAGATTGTTAAAAAAAATGTGTCTTCACTAGGAAATGAATACTATAATACTTCCTGTCTTTGCAAATGATGGTTACTTTACAATGTCTAGAAGAAAAACATATGTTTTATTCATAAGTGTTGCCTAAAGGCAAGGAAATATTACCATATGCTTGCTCCAAAACTCTGCAAAAGCAGATCTCCCAGTCATTCTTCCACTCATCTTCAGTGTGTTCCCACACCAGGCTAAAATGCTCCTTAGCCTTTAAGCAGAGCACCTTTTTAAACTATGGGATTTGGACTTCTTAAGGTACACAAGTATTGACGCTTTAGGATCGATAGAGTCATAAGGCAACACTGCCGCACGTGATGCTTTTAGGGTTCATGGTTTCTTGGTATCATTGATTCTGTATCTGGTTGTCTGCTACTCTGACTGGTTAAATAACTAAAAATGCATTCTTAATACTTTACAACGATAATTCTGTCAGAAATCTGGAAGTACTAAAGTATTTCTTCAATGTTCTTGCAGATGGCTTAGATTTATCTTCAAAAATAGAATACTTAGTTTTAATTATATATGTACCTGAAGTATTTTAAGAACTCACAATAACCAAATTAAATGAAATATGAATAGACATGAAAAGTTGTCAATGGTTTTGAATGAAATATTAAAAAATCATGCCATAAGAACTAGATGAAGTAAAAGACCATGATGTGAACTGGTGTTGGTGAGTCTAATGCTCCACCATGCTCAGAGCAACAGGGTTAAGAATAATCACAAAGATGGAAGTGCTTGGCATGGTGGCAAGGAACCAAAAATTTTTGGTGACTAGGATATTAAAATTTGGTGGAGAAGAGGGATTAATGATTGGGGGGGTGAAACTTCAGGGAACTTTACACTATATCTTAGCTAAGAAAATTATAATAAAATTCTAGTACTGAAAATTATGTGACATATTAACTAACATTTACCAATATTGGTAGTAGGAATAACACATATATTTTCATTACTTTGGGAATGCAACAAGATGCAGTATTTTTTCGTCAAGCATGTTACTGCACATTTTTTTTTTTTTTTCCCAGAATTCATCTCTTAAGTACTGGCAGACTTCATTTTATTGCTGGTCTCAAAGCCAGGCATTTGTGTTGGTTAAATTCATTATTTTCTTGACAAAATTATCTTGGGTAATTCTATATGATGGCCGACAGCCAGTAAGTTCGGTTAATTAATCTAAACCATTGGAACTCAGTCCAGTTCAAAGCAGTGTCTTTGTGAGTGGGGGTATATAAAACCAGACAACAGGCAGCTCATTTGCTGCATGCATCCTCTGTTCTTTCCACCGTTAACTATTTAGGCTGAAATCCTTTTCAAGCAAGAAACATTGCTGCCCAAAGGTAATTTATCTACAATATGCATAGAATAAATTGAATCGTTAAGTGGCAGTGCTTGATCTTCCTTTTTTTTTTTTTTCTGTTTAGCAAAGATCATTTATTTTAGTAACTTTTGGCAGAAAGTGTACTCAGAAGTTAAAGCTGATTTTTGTCATTTTAGTCTCTCTGGAGGACTTCTGAAAAATTACTTCACCACTGTTAGATTAAAAATAGAATGCTTCCACTAACTAATCTCCCAGAGAAGATAAACTGATTAAGTAGTAATGATCCCTTGTAAATTGTGGATACTTAGCGGCAGAAAAACTGAACTAGGAAAACTACTCCAAGTTTATATATTAGACACCTTGGGAAATTCTGTTACACTTTTCAGCTAACAGTTTAGATTTAATGCTGTCATAAAATTCCCAGATACTTTCAAACTCAGTGTGTGCTAAATGTAAGTCTTGTCCTTTTTCAGTCTTTCTGTTCCCCTGCCCACCCCCACACCCCCCAGCATCTAGTAACTTAGGCTCAAATGTAGAACTCATTGTGATCCTTTCTTCTCCTTTACTAATACTTATTGGCCATAAATCCCCATTTGACTTTCTTAATAGTGCATTAATCCACCTCATTGCTTCTCAACCATGCCATTACCAGCCTCAACAGCCAAAGCCTTGATTTTTCTACCTCAGTCTCATCTTCTATTAATCCCTCTCTTACATTGCTGCTCAAGTTCTCTTTTTGAAACATAAATCTCACAATGCAATTTGATGTGGCGGGTTCCATATCAAGTCCTTTGCCATTTCTTAATATTGAATTTCTCCAAATTGGTTATCTTTCTACGGTGCCTTAAAGTAGCTTTGGCACAGAGACTCAGTCCAGAATGTTCACCCTTACCCTTCAATAGCTCAATGTTAGCTTTAAAGATTTGACTCCGACTCTGTGTCTTGGAGGAACTCTCATATCCAGCAGGATATGCGCCATCGTATATGCTCAAATAACTTTATAGATTTTTGTGCTTATTACCATATACTATAAATATACACTCATTTGGTTTCCTTCATGAAATTTACCTTTTATTTCTGTGCTTTGTATTTACCGCAGAGAAAGTACAGTTGATATGTCGGGAAATATGTGTTGAATGGCTAAATGTATTAATAAAAATCAAGTTTCTTAAATTTGTGGTTATTTATTGAAAAACTAAATTATGAAAACTCAGAATTTTTTTAAAAAAAAGAGAAGAAAGCTTGCTTTTATAACTTGAGTCTGCTTCTGTTACATTAAAATTACTCGATAGTGGGAACCAGCAGTTAGCGTAATGGCTATGTCGCTGGACTCCCATGTAGTCGACCGCGGTTTGCGTCCTGGACCCAGTGGCTTAAAACTCACGCCGGGCGCGTGTGCGTGCGTGCCCAAGATCCCGAGAGGAGAATGGAGGAGAAGGGATTGCGGCATGACCATCCCCCCTGGGGGGTGATTTCTCACTTTCTGTCTCTAATGTCTCTCTCTGTCTGTCTGGTGAGCGCACGCGCCCTATAGTGAAAATCTCTCAAAAAAAAAAAATTACTCGATAGTTAATAGAAGAGAATTACTGTCAGATTTCAACAATACATGAAAGTCTTGCAAGCAAAGGGAGTTCTGTTGTAATTTCTAAATTACTATACAGACTATGCTGTTTTTAACTTACTTAAATTCCTACTCTTCATTTTTTTATGAATGGTAAAAATATAGGCCTTATACTTAATCTTTATTTTGATAAGATAATGAATTGTCTTTAATGAATTTTAGTAATTGTATTCCTTTTCACGATACTGCAGAGTTAATACTTATACCTGCTTTACTAAGTTTCTCATTTCACTTCTCCATGCCAATACCTTATGATACCTTAGAACACTTCTGAATCCAATTCAAAATTCAATAATTTTTTGATTTTTTTTTCTTCTCCCATAGTGCATGTGTGTTCACAGAGAGAGAGAGAGAGGGAGAGAGAGAGAGAGAGAGAAGAGGAGAGAGAGATATCACCCCTCAGAGGGCTATGGCCATGCTGCAATCCCTTCTCCATTTTCCTCCTGGGATTTTAGGCATGCACACACACATGCCCAGTGCAATTTTAAACTGCCGAGTCTGGAACTTGAACCATGGCTGGCCATGTAGGAGTCCATTGCCTTAGCCACTGTGACATCTACTGGCTCCCAAAAGTTAATCTTACAAGACTCAATTTTTGAAAAAAAGTGTTATTATTAATTTTGATTACTGAAAAGATAGCTTTCATCAAATTTGTCAAATAAAAAACTGTTCTGTTCTCTGGATCTTTATCTTTGAGGCACTTAAAGAAGTTTATGCAGAATGATTTGCTGAATATCTACCATACTTCTCAGTGAGAAAATGGACCTGCTGTACTTAAACAAATCTATGGAAAGAATTAGGAACCTGCTACCCATTAGCATTGTCCTTCATTAGGTGGGAACAAGTTCATGTATGTGTTCCAGGACTAATTAAAAGGCACAGTAACTGGACCAGCAAGTGACATAGTGGTTAAAGCTCTGGATCCCACATGGCCAGCTGCACAGTTGAGTCCCAGAATGGCAGCTTGAAGAACACACTGGGCGTGCATGCATGCCTAAAATCCCAAGAGGAGAATGGAGAAGAAGGGATTGTGGCGCTATCCCCTCTGGTGGGTGGTATCTCAATTTCCCCCTCTCTCTCTTTCGGTCTCTTTCTGATGAATGTACTCTCTTGATAGCAAAAACTTTAAAAATAAAAATAAAAAAGGCATACTGACAGCATGTTCTGAATTAGTATTTGTTGAATAATTAAAAATAGAAGAATGACTCAATTATTTTGGAATCTTAAAGTATCCTTATTTACATAATATTTACTTTGATATTTAGGAATATATTTGCACTGTATCTAGGTCAGATACATTTTTTTGTTTATTAATTGAGTTCTTCATTAAGGTTATATTATTAAATCATTTTAAATGACATTTGTGGAGTGCATAGCATTTGAAAGGCACCATGCAAATGCTACAAAATGTTTTTTTTCTCATTTAATGCTTATATCATCCTGTGCTATCAAAACAGTTAACATTTACTTTTTGTGAGTAAGGAAACTGACGCTTAAAGAGGTTAAGTAAACTGTCTGAAGTCACCCTGCCTATAAGTGTTTAGAACTGACATTGATTTCCAGAGCACCTCAAGAACCTAGTCTTAACCACCACGTTAAACAGCTTTGTCCTGCTGGTTACATGTTTCTCAGAAAATGAGACTGTTATCTATCATCCTTTTTTCTTCCAGTCGTATTTCTTTTTTTCTTTTTCTTTTTTCGGAGAGGTTTTTTTGCTATAGGGCACGTGCGCTCGCCAGACAGAGAGAGACAGAGAGATAGAAAGCGAGAAATCACACCCCAGGGGGGGATGGCCACGCCGCAATCCCTTCTCCTCCATTCTCCTCTCGGGATCTTGGGCACGCACACACACATGCCCGGCGTGAGTACTACATGGCCGGGTCCAGGACTTGGACCGCGGTCGACTACATGGGAGTCCAGTGACATAGCCATGATGCTAACTGCTGGTCCCTCAGTCGTATTTCTGTAGCCAGTCAGTTACGTTTTAATTTCCATAATCTCATTCCCAAGTTTGATGGAATCCATGCTTCGATATTTTTATGTACCTGCAGTGTTTTCAGGGAATCAACACACATTTCTTTGTTTTAGGACTCTCTCTTTTCCCTTTTTTTCTACCTCTACATATCAACAGTGAAGGTGGTCATAAAAGTAATCATCCGCACAGAAAGAAGGGCAGTAAGGCAGAAAACAGACCTTGTGGTTAAACTTTCAGCCTACAAGAGGGAACTAAGTGCTTAATGGATGTCCTACCACAGACCTAGCAGTAACATCTGCAGCAAGTTTAAATGATAAACAGAAATGAACTTTCAGGGAAATCATTTTTACTGTATGCAGGGTAATAGCCATTTTCAGTAAATGCCTGGTGACGCTCACTACAGAGAAGTGCCTATAATGAGACAAGTTAGTAAGCTTAAAGTTTTATTACTTTCCAAAAGTGCCTAATATGATTAAGGTTTATTATTTCAACAATGTGGTTCTCAGGCTGAAAGAGAAGCTAGCAAAGAGCGCCACTTTATTGCTAGTCTGTGGAAAGAGCTTGACAGTTCTTTAGATTTATATGTCTTCTAATGTCGTAATAAGAATGTGTGAGTCTCAATGAATCAGGAATTCCTAGTTACATCTTTACAATAAATGTTACTTATGAAATCAGTGAAAATCATGAGTAACATTGTCGAAATTAGTTTTAATCACATGATTAACCTCTAACATCTATAACGTTTATATTTCTGTCATTACCTCAATGGGAAAATGCTAGAGAAAACTGTTTATGATATTGTTTAAAAATCATATGTATTCTGTTGGTGTGTTATTAATTATGTTTAAAAGCTCTTTAATAAAATTGATTTTGCTATTTAATTTTTAATTTAGTTCAGAAAATAATTTACACAAATTGTTTTTTAAAAGTTTGAATAAACATTTATTATGTATAGTTTTAATTAATGTTATTTAATGCTGCAATGAGAATAACATAAAATATGATTCTATGAACTGCTTTTGTACCTTTTAAGTGAGAAATTAGTTTATAATCTTTACTTTTTTTTTTTTTTTGAGAGTTTTTTTGCTGCAGGGCGCGTTCTCTCACCAGAATGATAGAGAGACAGAGAGACAGAAAGCGAGAAATCACCCCCTAGAGGGGATGGCCATGCCGCAATCTCCTTTCCTCCATTCTCCTCTCAGGATCTTGGGCATGCACGTACATGTGCCCGGCATGAGTTTAAGCTGCTGGGTCTGGGACCTGAACCGCAGTTGACTACATGGGAGTCCAGCGACATAGCCATTACACTAACTGCTGGTCTCAAACATTTACTTTTATTTAAACCAAGGATTGTAGACTTCTTATGATGTTTTGTAATAATTTTTTTTATCATATGTCTTTAAATCTTTGGGACCAGCAGTTGGCATAATGGCTATGATGCTGGACTCCCATGTAGTCGACTGCAGTTCGAGTCCCAGACCTGGTGGCTTAAACTAATGCTGGGCACATGTGCATGCGTGCCCAAGATCCTGAGAGGAGAATGGAGGAGGAGAAGGGATTGCAGTGTGCCTTCCCCCGTGAGGTGATTTCTCACTTTCTGTCTCTCTGTCTGTCTCTTTCTAGCGAGTGCATGCACCCTATAACAAAAACCTCTCAAAAAAAAAAATCTTCATCAGTGACTTTCTGTACTGGATATATATCATGGAAAATGTCTATATAGGACTGTTTTAAAATCCTTTCTGTTGCATATAACTCAGAATATGTAAATATATTTAAATATTGAAATATATATAATGAAATATGTATGTATATATTGAAATATATATAATGAATCAAAATATACTTTGAGAATTAAATATTGAAATATTGGAAAACATTTTCTTTTTAGTTTTTGGAAAACATTTTCAAAATTTTCGTTTTTTGTTCATTTCAAAAGTGCACATAACGGCACTAGAAAATAGAAAACTGATTTTTCCCTCTTTGTATATAGTCATATGGCATTTAAGTTTTGTTAAGCAGTTCATCCTTTTCAAGTCCAATGAAAAAAAGTGTACCTAGAATTGAGACTTGTATTTTCTTAAGCTTTATTTTTTTCTTCCGTGAATGAGAGAGAGACAGAGAGAGAGAGAGAAAGAAAATGAGAAAGACAACACTCCCATCAAGGTCTCAGTGCTGTGATCTACCCCCAGCCTTTACCCAGCCCAGACGAGGGACAAAGGTGTGCATGGTGTACTCGAAGATGTATCTAGTTTTCATGTATAAAATACTAGCCCAGGCCTGGCTGCCTTGGCACAGAGATAGTGCCACTGATTGGGAGACTGAAAACTGCACGGAACCAGAACTGCTCAGGTTTGATTCCCAGGCAGACCTGAACATGCTGAGCATGGTTTCATTTGCCTCTAATCCTAGCAAATGTGAAGGCTGGGGCAGGAGGCAGATGGCACAGGAAGACCCTGTCGAAAATACCTAGCTCTGTCTCCAAGTGCACGGTCTACTTCCTCCCCTTGTTAAATATCGTGGACTGAAGCTCTCTGTCTTG